TAAGTTTATCCCTCGAATTCTCTACTATAGTGGAGATCAATAGGTTGTAAAGGTCAGAAATAATGCCTTTTCTCAATTTATTTTTGATCATCAACTTTTCTAGCGATGTAAGGGGGGGTCTACTTAGATTACCATGATTCGCTTTCACAAAACTTCTCAACTGAAGGTATTTAAAATAATGTTTTTTATCAAGCTTGAATTTGGATTGTAACTCTTCGAAAGACATAAATATATCGGACTCTGATGTATAAAGGTCATTAATTGTTTTTAGTCCTGCAGATGCCCATCGTTTAAAAGTTGCATCTGCCCTTCCAGGTACGAAGAGCTGATTGCCCCATATTGGGCTAAATTGTGACAAAATGTTTGATTCTTTGAAAGATTTACTAACATCATGCCAGACTTTAATCATATTTTTTAGTATTGGATTTCTGGTTTGTTTCCGTAGGTTTTTTGCCCTGTCAGAATACATAATAATTTACATAATTTTAAGTCATGAGACTCCATTTCGACCCAATGTGGATTGTTTTTGCTTGAAAAGTAAAAGATGATAGTCCTTAACTGTGTGGCCCAATAGTAGAATTTAAAGTTGGGACACTTTAGTCCCCCACCATCGAATGGTAAATAGAGTAAGAAAAGACGAACCCTAGGCCTCCCATTATTCCATATAAAGCTCACAGTGGTTTTTTTCAACCATATAAAAAGTTCAGGAGGGGGCGGCAGTGGAATGTTTTGGAAAAGGTAGAGTAACTTTGGTAGTACATTCATTTTTTAGAATATTGACTCTTCCCATTATAGATATAGGCATGTTTGTCCATCTCTTAATTGAGTCATTTATTGTTTTCATCATGTGTTCATAGTTAGTTTTAACAACCTGATCTAATACTGGAAAAATCTGGACACCCAAATAGGTAAACTTTTCCACTACTTTAAATTGAGCAATCTCATAGATAGGATTGGTCCTTTCAGCTATGTTTAATAAGAGAATGGAGGATTTAGTATTGTTTACTTTATAACCTGAAATTTGAACGAATGGCTGTTGCAAAAGGCTCTATTGCTAGCGTAAACAGCAAGGCAGAGAGTGGACATCCTTGCCTACAACCCTTTTTAGTTTTAATTGTCTCTGAAAATAACTTATTTGACATGACTTCCGCAGTTGGGTTGTTATATAGTATTTTCACCCATTTTATAAAGTTAGTTCCACAACCAAATCTTTCCAAAACATGAAAAAGATAGGGCCATTCGACCCTAAACTAATAGGTCTGAAGTTTTCACATTTATTAGGGGGTTTACCAGGCTTTGGCAGCAAAGTAATAAGGGCATGATTCATGGAAGATGGAAGTTCGCCTTTTTCAAATGTCTCTGTAAACATATCTAATAGAGGTGTTAACAATTTATCTTTGAATTTTTTAAAGAGGTCAATGGGAATACCATCTGGTCCTGCTTGCTTACCAGAGTTCATTCCATCAATAGCCTGCGATATTTCCACTTTGTTTATTCCTATATTTAAATTGACCCTCGAATCATCTGAAATAATTGGAATATTTAGTGCATTCAAAAAAGTTTTTAGGTCGTTATCGTCCTGTTTTTTTTGGAAATCATATAACTTCTGATAGTAGTCTTTAAATGTGTTATTAATATCTCTAGGATCGGTGAGAGTTTTGTCCTGTGTTATAATAGATGTAATTGGTATTGTTGATTCAAGTTGTTTAATTTGCCAGGCTAATAATTTTCCTGCTTTATCTCCATGTTCATAAAATGATTGTTTTAATCTTAACAGACTAGATGCAGCCCTAAAACTAGATTGTTTACCGTATTCAGCTCTTAGTAGCAGCAATTCTTTTTTCAAATCTGTGTCATTCGTTTGATAAACCATTTCCTGGATGGTCTTGATTTTAGTTTCTAATTCCAATCTATCCCTTCTAGCTTTCTTAGATTTGTTACCCGTATAACTAATAATATGCCCCCTAAGAAACGCTTTAAAGGCATCCCATCTCACGCACGCTGATGTTTGATTTTTATTTATTTGAAAAAAATCCTCAATCTGTTGTCCAATATATTTAACACAATCTTCATCCTGCAGCCATTTATGCTGAAAGCGCCATCTAGGTGGGTCACATGTAAGTTTGTCATCCCTATATATAAGGCAACACGGTGCATGATCTGATATTACTATGCTATCGTATAAACAATCTTGGATCTTGGGCATAAGTTCTGATGAAATTAAAAAATAATCTATTCTTGAGTATGTCTGAAATGTTGCTGAATAGCATGAATAGGCTTTGATTTGTTGGTGCAATTCCCTAAAGATGTCCAGCAATCTCAAATCTTTTATAAAGCTTTGTAAAGTCATCCTACAGTTGTTATGTGATTGGCCCGTTGCTGTGGATCTATCTATGGCTGGGTAAAGGGTACAATTAAAGTCCCCTGCGATCACATAGCGCCCTGGTAGTGATGAGAGTGACAGGAATAAATCTTGATAAAACGCTGAGTCATCTGAATTAGGAACGTATACATTTACCAAATTTAGAGTCTCCAGTAGTAAAGATCCCTGAATTATTAAATATCTACCCTTCCTATCTTTAATAACATTTTTTACCTGAAGTGGAACAGACTCATGAATAAGGGTCATAACTCCTCTTGCTCTAGATGTAAATGCTGATGTAAATACACTACCCCGCCACCTCCTCCTAACCCTTCCCTCATCTTCCTCCATAAGGTGTGTCTCTTGCAGAAATATTATCTTAGAGTCCATTTCCTTTAATTTAGTCATAACTCGTTTAACCTTCTTAACGCTTTGTAGGGCCCTGCAGTTCCACGTAACAAACTTCAAGTTTAGTGTTTGTGACATTTTGAGATATCAAAACTTTGAAATCAAATAATGAGTTTTTTACCTCGTAAATTAGGATTTTTTCATGGAGAAGCGAAACAAACCTGGATATGAGAACGCATATCCAGCACCGTGAACACGAACTACCCCCCTTTCCCACACCGTATGGGTATCCCTCCCTCGACCGTGCGTCTCCCACTATCGCATGTGACCACTCCACACATAGTGAGGAGCAGTCTAACCACTCTTCTCTAACCAAACCAGAACCCTTACTACCGATGCTGTTCGCCATTAGTGACAGTCAATTAACCACCCTCGTTTCAATACAAATTTACCCACTGTGTGCACTATTTATAACGCTCAGTAAGTGCGCCTCCATATCAAGTCACTATGCCCTTGTAAACAGAAAATGCACCACTAAAACTGGACACTTCAAAACTTCAGACAATTCGAGCCTTTTCAATATCAAAATTAAAAATAAAGACAGATGTTTTCCGCGTAACGGACCTGGGAGTTACTCACTAGAAAGAAGATAAAGAAAGAGTGTGATTTAGTCCAAAGCTGGTAGTGATTCATCCTCTTCTGCCTTCTTCTGAATTTTCTTCACAAACTCTCTCGCTGCCGCTGCTGTTTTAAAGGAATGAGTCTGGTCCTTATAAGTCACCAATAGTTTGGCCGGATGGGCCACTCCGTGTCGCAGACCAAGTTTGCGTAACTCTGCTCGAACCAAATCAAACTGCTTCCGTAGTTGGTGTAATCCAGCTGCTGTGTCCGGATAGAGCCGTACCTGTTGATTTTGGAACCGAATGTCCTTATTTGCTCATGCTGCAGCAAAAACCACCTGTTTATCCCTATAGTTGAGGAATCTCATTATTAGAGTGCGAGGTGGTGTGATGCTGTCCCTCTTAGGTCCAATTCGATGTGCTCTTTCTATGACAACTGCCTCCGTGCCGAGTATCTCCGGTAACCATTTCTCTAAAAACACACATGGGTCTTGTCCTTCAGCTCCCTCCGGCAGATTGACTAGTCTTAAGTTGTTTCGTCTAGATCTTGCCTCGAGGTCCATAACTTGGTCCTCCAGCGCTTTCGCATTGGACTCCAGTGTGTTCACTTTAGCACGCAGGATTTCTATCTTGTCATCTGCCTCAGAAATTCGGGTTTCCGTTTGTGATACTCGCCGGGTACAGTCATTCATCTCTTTCCTCAGACCTTCAATGGACTCCACCACTTTGTCAAATTTAGAGGAGACGTCCATTTTCATGGAGTTGACAGTGGACAGTATTTCGTCCAACTTGCTGCTCTGGTCTTTCTGTTTATATTCCCCGCCGGAAGCCGCCATTAGAGCAGAGCTAGCATTAGAGTCAGGGCTCGGGCTGGTGCTAGCGCTAGCCTTCTGTGCTTCACCACAAAGGTGGTAGTCCGTCAACTTGGGTTGTTTTGATTTTTCGCTTGCTTCTTGGCCCGTTTTTGCTGCTTTAGGCATTATTCTGTCCACACGAGTGTATTAGCGCGTCACTTTGTTGCAAAAGAGAGGGTTTTAAAGAAATTTTGACAAGAACAGCAGAGCGGTACAAAACCCGTCTTTTCACGTGGCTGCCATAACCGGAAGTTCTACTTTTATTTTTAGTTATTTTTACTGTAGTACCCCCTCCAAAAGTAAATGAAAGCATAAAGTTAAAATGTTACACATTGTTCACTTACACAGGTGAGTTGAAAATATGCTCTAATGTTCAGTTTTGTGCGGTTCAGCATAGTTACACTCACCTTAGAATCAGCATCATGTTCACATGTGCCAAACTATATGTTCAACTCTTCTCAACCTCTGAGCTGGGCTGATATACCAATGTAATAGGTGAAACGCAGACTTAATAACAATCAACAGGTACAAAAGGCTTACAGCATGGTGAGGCAGGCAGAGGTCAAAACCAGTGAAGCAGTCCAGACAAAGGCAAACAAATCCAACAGGGAGCAGGCAAACACAATATTCAGAACACAGACATGATACAGGAACACAAAGAAAGTCCAACAAACACTGAGAAGAGTCCAGAAAACACTGGGAGAATAACACTAGGGAAAAAGGCTGAGAAGCTTGACACATAGGACGAAGACAAAGTGGCACTGAGTGTTTCTGGTTTTTAACTTCTATCTTCTATCTCGTCCTCTATTTCCATAGCTGTTGCGATGACAACAGACGAGACGGAGAGTTACCAGAAGAAGCCGAGGCAGCAGGAAGAAGCCAGCCAGGACGCCAGACCGCCCTCACCAATGGAGGAGCAGCTCCGGCCACGCAACCGCAACTCTGCTGGTCGCGGCCTCTCCCGCCTCTTCTCATCCTTCATGAAGAGGCGCTCGCAGTGTGAGAGTGAGGCAGGAGAGAAGGAGGACAAGGAAGAAGAAGAAGCTAAAGCCCCCATTGCTGACCCTGAACCTGAACTGAAGACAGAGGGAGAGGTCGCCCCAGACCAGCACTCAGTGAGCAGTGCTGAGGCTCTGGTTAGCCTGCATGTTGTGTATCTTGTGTCTACAGTACATCTAAAGCCCTTGTCAGACAAGGAATACATTACATTGCTAAAATTGTTGAATTAATGACTCTTTATGATTCAGACAGGTGAAATAAGTGAGAGAATGCATGAGAGAGGCTTATATCGTTTATTTAATCTCTTCTGCCCGTGTAACATGGTGGATGGAAAATCACTGCACCATAGGCTGTGCAGTCAAAACAGCATGTTGACAGCACAGCAGAAGCAGATTCAGTCCTTCAGTCAGCCACTGAAGGAGTTTTAAGTAATTCCCTCAAGTCATTTAATGTCTTGTGACTGTCATACCCCCGTTGTCACTTAGCAATTTCATGTGTCTGCACCTTAAACCACCCGTTCTCCTCTCTAAGAGATGTACGTCATTTTACTCCAAAGTAAAACTACCTCAGAAAGCGGTAGTCTCTGTGTGGATGATCTGTAGGGGTGAATAAAAGCCCATGAAGATGTACAAAAACCTTTGTCCCATCCATCGGTTCAATCATCCACAGTCCCAGCACCAAACAAGGTAACTGGACAGGCATTGGATTTTTTCAGGTTGGCTTTTTTTTCTTTTTGGTTATTTAGGTATTTCCACATTTTTTCAACATTGATGGATGAAATTCAGACACCAGTTGTTGATACATGAACCTCATGCAAGATTCACAAAAATCTTTGGATATGATTTTGAAGAATGCTTTAAAAATGTACATGTAAAAATAGACATGTTAATAGATTATATATATGAATTAACAAAATACAAAGTGAGTGAACAGAAGGAAAAACCTAAATCAAATCAATATTTGGTGTGACCGCCCTTTGCCTTCATAGCATCATCGTAAGACGGTCAAGAGGAGGAGCATCATGGCGGCAGGAAAGTTTGCCGTGTTGGTAGGGCTCTCAGTGTATTGTTTGTTGTTGATGCTTACAAATGCATCCCAAACTGCTCACACTTATGGAAGAGTAGTGGATGTAAATCAGCTAACTGTAATGAGACCTCATTCTGAAAACAAAACACTTTGGATTTGGAAAGAATGCCTTACTTAACTTGTTCTGTTACCCCTCCCTGCACATTTCAAAAAATAAATCAAAGGAGTCGTCATTGTGAGTCCAGGACATGAGAACCCCGATGGCTGGCTCGCTTCAGAGCACAGACTGGAAGGGAATGACAAAGACAATGCCATAAAAGTAGGCTACATGAAAAAAGTGAAGTTCCAAATGCCGTCTCAAAACGATCTAGAAATCGTACAAATTGTTCTTTAAAAGAGGATTCCATATTCTCCATCTCAACATCAGAGTCTTCTTCCAAAGATAAACGAACTTCGTCTGCTTGCAAACAAATATAAGGTGGAAGTGATGTGCTTCACTGAAACTTGGTTTGATAGCTCCATTAAAGATGCTGAGATTTAGAGAATTATGTGGTGATCAGATGTGACTGGAATCGTAACAGTGCGGTTTTAACCATAGGACAGATGTTTGTCATGACATTATTGAATCAGTGTGGCTGGAAATTTTCTTACCAAAGACTAAACCTATTTTAATTGGAACATGTTATAGGCCGCCGGATCAGAACAACTTTTATGATCTTTTAGAGGAAATATGTTCTAAGTAGGCTACACAGATTTTATTAAATCAGAGGTAGCCTAATTGTGTTTGGTGATCTTATTACAAATATCCACAAAAGAATACGCCTATTTATAAATATTAAAAAAATTTCTGTAATCTTTTTGATTTGTAGTTGATGAAGGAACACACATCATTCAATCATTTTTGTACCAGCAAAGCTCCGAAAACAGTGTTCAATTCCCACAATTCTATGAAAATCAGGTCTGCTAGAATCTCACATTTTTTTAATAGAACAGCGTAAGAGACCTTGGTAGGGGATCTAATCCAGTGTCATTTGGACAGTGTTGGGCAGTAACACTCTATTGTAATAATATTACTTTCCCAGTAATTAGTAGTATAACTAATTACTTTTATAAAACATTAATATTACTAGTTACTAAGGCAAGTAACGCTGCGTTACTCGTTACTGAACGCACCATCCTTGACTGTGCAGCAGCTCAGCGGGACCCGACTTTATTGTTCATGTTCGCTGATAGCCAAAACTAAAGGAAAAATGGAGAACGAGGGAGAGAGGCGTTCTAGTAGCAACTGCCATTATTGTGTCACAGTCTAAGATACAAATAACATTGTTGTCTATTGTAAACTCTGTGCGACTAGCAAAAGCTTTCAACCGCGAACATTTCTATATCTGATTTATTGAAGCATCTGCTGAAGCAGCACAGCAACGTGAAACTTACAGAAAGAAACTCCGGCAGCTCCTGCCACTGATGCTTGGACTCGTCGGGAGAGAGTGGCGTTAACGTTTTGTTAACTGCTCTAGATAGGCTACATATGCAACAGCAGTTCAAAAGTCGGGCTTTACTTGCTTTATTTTTTTCTTTCAGCCGGTGGTGTTAAGAAACGTTAGGCCTAGGCTATAGCCTATGCTTTGTAAAAAAAAAACACTCCTTGCTGCTGTTATGAATGTTATGCTGAATATGATAGCCTATTAGTTAAAAAGTCGGCATTACTAGGGGCGTGGCCGCTTTGATTGACAGGCGTCCCTGGCCGCTGCAACTCCTAGCACTCGGTCCGCTGTCTGTTAGCCTCACTCAGCTACACGGAGCTCTGAGGCTCAGCCTGTTGGAGCTGTTTGGACATTTCTACATGCAGATACCGGATGAATAATGGCAGGCTGTTATTGGAGAGAGAACCTCCAGGAAGTCCGTGTTCCAGTTGGTGAGTGAAATTCCTGTATTTTATTTATGTGTTAACAATATTATCAGGTATCGCTGTCGGCATATAGCTTGTTAGTTTAGCTCGTTACGCTAATTAGCCAGATATGAGCAGCTCCAAGCTGCTAACGATGCTAAGATAAAGAGTTTAGTGTGTTCTAACCACAGCTTTTAAGGAATCAAAGACAAGTCAGCAAGAAGAGAGAAGCCAAAATGTATTAGATTAACCTTAGTGTTAGACATTAGGGTGATAATGCCGTGAAGAAAAGGCGTGTGTGAAGTTGTAAAGCAAAGGCTCAGCCAAACGTCTCTGGCTCAGCTCTGTTAACGTTAGCTGACGTTATGTTAACGCTAAACTTTACAAACGGGCAATGTGAGATTTGGCCTCGTACTGTACGCTGCGCTCTACGCAGTCACTGTTCAGTTAGATACTAGTCAGATACTATTATAAGTGGCTGGACCTGAACCGGAGGGACTGTTTAAAAACATTATACTATTCTTGGTGGGGTTCATCAGTGGGGATGATTCAAGTACATACTGAAGGACGTTTAGAGTCATCAATAAGTTATTACACTTAGTAGATGTAGCATTCCTTGTGATTCAGCAAACAATCTGAGGTGATAACTGTGTTTGATCAGCGACATTTCTGTTAAGGGCCTTAACAGGTGGATGCATTATTCGGCAGAACAGATGTTGTAGGCTACCTGTAGATATTTACATCCACCTTTTTTGTCAGCATATAATGAGCTTTATACCTACAGACAAGTAGCTGGGCTGCAACTAGGGCGATGGTTTAGTTAAAGCCAGAAATTAGGTGTGTGAGAGCCACCTCTGAGTTTGTTTGGTGGATTAGAATTTGCCAAAAAAGGTAGTACAGTTAAATATAAAATAAGATCCTTATAATAAATGTTAAATAAGATCTGACTGAGTAGTCAACAGGTGTTTTGCAGCATGGATTATTATTGCACAGTGTCCAGCAGCAAACAGTATATTGCACATATTAGTAAACCGTGTATTTCACGTTGCTACCTCTAATTATTGTGACATGCTCGAGAGGTTTTCATGCTGAGGCGATCTCAGAGTTCAGTAGATTTATGGCTCTTTGGAAGAAGCTGCTTAACTGTCTTCCCATTGTTGTCTTTACAGGTACCAGAGGAGCTGATTGCAGAACCCTCCAGATGTGATTTTCTGTGTCCTGTGTGTGTAAAGAGCTGGGGCGTAAGTATAGACAGTGCAGACAGGAGATAACAGCCCCAGCTCTTTAGCTCCTGCTCTGCACAGCCTTTTCCTTTTACTCACAACAACCTGAACCTGATGTGAAATTATGACAGCAGATTCTATCATTATAATAACTCTTACAACACATTATTTCCAGTCATACAAAACTACTTCTACATTTGAAACCTTTCAATATTGATGTTTTCAATTTGTTAAACTATTGCTATTAGGAATACTCTAGTCTTTTTGACCACTTTGACCGCTTTGAGTGCAAAGCGCTTTGACACTACATCTGCATTCACCATTCACACACATTCATTGAGCCTAAGTGCTCAATCAGAAACTAACATTCATACACAGCCACACACGGACACGCAACTGGAGGAGCCAGTTGAACTGCCGACCTTCCGATTAATGGGCTACCTGCTTTGTGTTATAAATTATACAGAAATGTCAACGGGAGAAGAGCTCTCTAATCAGCTAATTAACTCAAAATACCTGCAAAGCTTTCTGAAGCCTGTTATCTCTCAGTCTGGTTCTGGTGCTCGTTTCCACAGTATTCAAATTTTTTGAGATGCTCCTCTAAAAGATGCCTCAGTATTTTGATGTTGACAGCACTATTATGTCACATACGTGGGAGAAAATGGAACAAGGGAGACAGTCTTTAAATGTTTTTGTGTTGCCTTTTAAGACAGATAAGTTTATATCAGCTGTCAAATGTCCTGTAGCCAAGTTGTCCTCATAACATTACATACAGTTTAAACTTTGTGTAGCAGATGTGGAGGCATCAGATCCTCAACTAGAACTGATCACTAAAATCTTGTGAGAAATATGAAAAGTACCTTTCTCTCTCAAATGCCCTATTCCAGACACTAATCTCACACAGCCCTGCCGCAGCAGCAACGTTACTCAAAATAGCATCTCTTACAGGCCCCCACCCCCTCTGCTCTCTGTTTCTGCGCCTCATTTCCCATATTCCCCC